CGAGAACTGTGCAGCTTATCTGTCAGGGGTAGGGCTTAAGGCTTCCTTACCTACAACCATGAGAGCAGGGTCTGTGAAGCTCTTGGTACCGCTGATGCTCTCGGGCGGATTCTCTTTGCTCCTGCTGTGGCTGCTCACGGGCTCGCTGCAGCGTAGTAGACAGCTCCTGGAAGGGACTTCCCAGGAGACCTCTATCGCTCCACAGCACACAGGGCCACAGGGATCTCTGCACCTCTGCAACTTCTTCGAAGCGCCGCCTGGTGCATCGCACGTGCCCGCATAACAGAACGCGCAGACTGCAAGCTCGCCTCAGTTTCGCGACTTCGTCCATCCATCTTTCGTCCTGGCAATCCCACGCTCGGAAGCGCAGTCATCATCGAGAGAGGGGTTAGAGCAGAGCAGCACACGTGGTCCAGCAAAAACTTGACTGGTGCACATTGAGGACAGCTTCCACGCGGGGATTTTGCCATTTCTCCAGCTGGCGAGCGAGTCCGTCCTCGGCATTGCACTGTTCACGGAAAGCCCTTGCTTCATGCACGTGAGTGAAGATCGTGCAGATTTCATTTGCACTTATACACGGCCGATGCTCAAGATGCGTCCCTCAGTTTCGAAGCGCCCTTCGTCAGCCATTCTCCTCACTGAAACCCCACCTCTGACGCTTTGGCTGAGGGACTCTCTGCCGGACACTGAGCTCCGCGAGAGTCATGTACATTGCCACAGGCAGCTGGCTTGGAGCTGCCTCAGCCCACGTATACAGTATATTATAGCATAGTATGGTATAGCACAGTACAGTATAATATAGTATAGTATAGTATAGTATAGTATAGTATAGTATAGTATAGTATAGTATAGTATGGTATCGTCTAGTGTAGTATGGTATAGTATAGCATAGCATAGCATAGTACAGTGTAGTATAGTATAACTTATAATATATTAGAATACATTGTATTAAAGCCTGCAGCCTTGTCCCGATCGGATACAGCCCTTCATAGAGTGAAGACAGCCGGGTCGAAACCCTAAACCCCTAAACCCCTAAACCCCTAAACCCTAAACCCCTAAACCCTAAACCCTAAACCCCTAAACCCCTAAACCCCTAATCCCCGAAACCCCTAAACCCCTAAACCCTAAACCCTAAACCCGTAAACCCCGAACCCTAAACCCTAAACCCTAAACCCTAAACCCCTAAACCCTAAACCCTAAACCCCTAAACCCCTGAA